TCCTCTGAAGTCAGGGCTTGGAAACCAGTCACTTAGCACTTAAAACACACTGCCTTTGCTGCCTTGAAGGTAGTCAAGTTCTAGAGCAGCAGAGACACGCAGGGGCAAGCTGTCAGATTAAATATCATGGCGCGTTAAAACTAAATAGGCAGCCGAACCGGTTTGGCTCAGTGGATAGAGCGTCGGCCTGCGGACTCAAGGGTCCCAGGTTCGATTCCAGTCAAGGGCATATACCTTGGTTGTGGGCACATCCCCAGTGGGAGGTGTGCAGGAGGCAGCTGATCGATGTTTCTCTCTCATCGATGTTTCTAACTCTCTATCCCTCTCCCTTCTTCTCTGTAAAAAATCAATAAAATATATTAAAAAAAAAACAAAAACAAAACTAAATAGGCAGATGGGTTTTCATTTCGACATTAAACCTATTTCCAGAAAAGGAAGAAATGTGTATAGGGAGGAAAAAGATAAACGGTGGTTTTTTTGGTGGCAAACTGCACCCCACCAAAAAAAAAAAAAAATGTTGTCAATGAAGAATGTAATCACAAATAGTTTCATAGATAGCTGAAAATATTGCCTTGCTTGTAAAGTAGGCTAGATTTTCAGAACATTAAAAAAAATTTTATATACGATGGGCTAACAGGCAACAATGAAGGCTACGTTTTCGCTAGACAGCAGGACACAATCAATGTTTTCAGTATGATAGTTCAGAAGATCCCACCACTGTGAGAAATCCTAATCTCATACTATTTCAAGAGATCACATAGAAAATTCATGAAAAAGTCGGGGTAAAAATGAATAGCTATGAAACTCCAACTCTGTCATAGTTTCTTACAACCCTTATATTTCTTCCCTGGCAATACCCCGAACAGAAGTCCTTGCAAAAATTTCAGTTGCTTCCTGACCTCATAAACCAAATAACATTTCTATCCAAATAATCCTTATATGCTGTATCAGTTTGATGCTATATCAGTTCTCATATATTTTTAGCAAGTATTTTGGGGCAGGAACTCCTCTTAAAGCTACTTCTTTACCTATCCTGCCAGGCTGCCAACCTTGTGTTTTGAACTCTGCAGACTCAGCTCTGGCTTGGCAGGTCCAAAGTGCTGCCCTGAACTGTCAGAACACAAGAAAAGAAGGGGCCCCAGAAGGACTAGTGTCTTTGTAGTGGGCACCAAAAATACCGGAATCAACTCTCAAAACAATTCTTTATGTTGTTCTGTTTAAAAATTTCCAGCAATCTGATTGATAGCATTCACAAAAGCATCCACACATGAGAGACACAAAAGCTGATAGTGCACATAATATCCAAGAGGCAAGCAGTTTCCCCTAAGACATGCTCTTGGCCTCCCAGCTTACACCCCTCCCCCTTTTACACCCCTCCCCCACCAGCTGACTCATTTTTTACACTGAATATTTTCTAAGTGTATACAAGAGCTTAGATGCCCAAGAGCATTAACATAACATCTCCTACAGTGAGGTATTACAATCCAGGTTAAGAAATGAAAGGAACAAAAATACAGAGAATACTTTTAGAACTAACACTGTGGCCTGATGTATTCAAAGGCCCTGAAAAACTTGCATCTCAAGATCAACATTTCAGAAGCAGAATTCTAAATATTCATAAGCAACCAGATCTTTCCTGAGCTCATCTCCTCACTCAATACAACAAAACTAACCCTAGTCAGGTAGATAGCTATTCATAATGAAGTACTTTGAAGGGAAAACCAGATTATAACATTTAACCCTGAGAATTTTATTTCATAAACCTATTTATATGGAGACAGACTCTATATCTAAAAGTGCAGATTTTTAAAATTTTTCTTTGCCATTTGGGGGATGGAAAAGCATCCCTGATTTGTATATTAAAGCGCAAGCATCTGTCCTACTGATGATATTCCAGGGAAGCACATTAGCATAAAATTTAACGATGTCAAATAAGTGGATGTGAAATAGGGACTGCGTAAAGACACTATTTCCAAGGCTGACAGAAACATCACTGTTTAGAAATGCAAATGAAACCATTATGTTCAATAATTATATGAAAATATGAACAGTTCAGCATGTTTTCCAGCCCTGATGGCGGTTAATGGGATGTATGCTTATGTAAATAACTACTATTAAAGCTAATGCTGAAAAAAACTAATAAATTCATACTAAAGCAACTGATTTAGTATGCTTTTAAACCCCAGCAGTGCTCACTTATTAGAAAAGAGTGCATTATTATGTTTAGAACTCATTACTGCTACAAGTCACTGCAACTCCATCAATTACCATGCATTAATGAAAATGGGACACATACAAAAAAAATTATTGCCTCTCAGCAGTTTTTTTTAAAGACAAAATCTAGGGACATTACCATCATGGGGCCTTGTAGGGAACTTATCCACACTATAATCTTTATTACTAAAATGGTACTCCCAATACTATCATCCTAAGGTATTTTGACCATAAGAAGGGCTAACCTTTATGTAAAAATATCAACATTTTACAAAATTGACCATTTAGCACCAATAAGAAATTTTTAATATTTGAATTGCATTTTTAAAAACTTTTATTAACATATATGTGGCAGATGGTCCATTTTCTTTTATCCTTACCTGAGGATATGTTTATTGGTTTTAGAGAGGGAAGAAGGGAGGAATGGAGAAATAGAGGGAAGAGGGGAGGGAGGGAAACAGGGAGGAAGAGAGAGAGAGAGAGAGAGAGAGAGAGAGAGAGAGAGAGAGAGATTCCCATAGAGAGAGATTCCCATATATAAACCTCAACCCAGAAAGGGGATCTAACCTGCAAGCTAGGTATGTGCCCTGTTGGGGAATCGAAGCAGCAACCTCTTGGTGTAGGGGACAATGTTACAACCAACTGAACCACCTTGCCAGGGCAGATGGTCCATTATTTTTTTCAAAGGGAGGCCAAGAAGTGAAAATACACAGTGGTAGTCATACCAGTATATAGAGGTAGATGGTTTTATTCTAAAATTCTGCCTAATATAATAGATAAAATCCCACCCAATTCTACATTTATGTCTCAATGAATTCTGTGCAATGAAGGGATTGGATTTTTAAGAACAAACCTAAAATGTCCTTCTTGGCCACAAGATGGACTTTCTTGCAATATATTAAATATTGCAAGATATTAAGAAGCTGAAAAGTCCTTGTTTAAAATTCAAGTTTAACTTGCACCTAACAGCAAAGAAATGCTGACGGAGCAGGAATGCAAATATATAAATACGTTTGCTCTCACTCTATTTGTGTCAACTTTCACTATTTATTCTGTTTCCTTCGCATATATAATTAAACTGATCCTTCATCCTTTTTTCACATCCAGGAAAACAGAAAGCACTTCAGCACCTACTAAATGTTAAAAATATTTGCTAAACCTCAGACATAGTCATGTTATATATTATAAATATATGTTTATTTTGAAATTATTACAGTCACATCAGTCCAATCATTTGCAGTTTTGGCTCTCACTTGTTTCTTTGCCTCCCAAGAAGCTTCTCTTGCAATTTAGATATACTAACACCAGATGGTGGTAGAGTGCGATGATGTGCAGCTATAATAGTAAAATGCAAGTTTTCTCTCAAAAGCAGTAAAATGCAGATATTCTCTGATCAAGCAACACAGGTTTAACAATTCATTCACATAACAGGGTATTTTTTTAGTACATACTGAGTATCAGGTCTTGCATAAGATTCTCAGTGTACAATAGTGCATAAAGCAAAAATAATGTTCCATGAGGGAAATAGACAATAACTAAATGTATAAGTAATAGAATGTCAAGTGTCCTCAATAATCAAAGCCCGTTCACAACTATAAAAAAAAAACAAAACTTCTTAGCAAACTGAAATGAAGCAAATTCCTCAGTGTAATAAAAGATACCTATAAAAAACCGGGTAGCTCAGTTGGTTAGCGTCTTGTCCCAATATGCCAACGGTGTGGGTTCGATCTCCAGTCAGGGCACTCACAAGAAGCAACCGATGAATGCATAAATAAGTGGAATAACAAGTTGATGTTTCTCTCTCTCTCCCCCTCTAAAATCAATAAATAAAAAAACTTTTTTAAACCTATAGCTAACATCAATCTTAAAGCTGAAATACACGTTTCTCCTAAAACATGGAACAAGATAAGGGTGCTCTTTGTCATCTTTTATTCAATACATAACTGGAGGTATTGCAGTAAGACAAGAAAAAGAAAGAAAAGGCTTAAAGATCAGGAAAGAACGAAAACTATTTTTATTTGCAGATGACATAATTGTTCACACATAAAATCCTAAGGAATCTGTGAAAACAACTATTAAAATTAACAAGTGAGAATTTAGCAAGGTCAAAGATATAATCAATATAAAAATTCAACTGTGTTTCTAAATCCAACAACTGAAAGTTGAAATTAAAACTACACTGAGAACAAACTTTTCAGAATCAACAGACGCCCTTTTGCTGACTAGAATATGCACATGATGGCTGAATGCCAAGACTCCCTCAAATCAACAGTCATCCCCTGCCTTGCGCCAAAACTCAAATGTCTTTCACAATAAAAAGGAATAAACACCTATCTTGCTTTTATTACTGTTACTTCGGAAAGCTTGATCCTGCCATAATTCATAAAACATCCGTTAGTAGGTTCCATCTAATCCTAGCCTTTTCAGCTTTGTTTCTGCATTATTTTCCTTGAGATCTGTTCTATGCCTTGTCAGAGCAGCACATAATGAATGGTGAGATTCCTCAGTAATTCCTACCTGACTTCTTTAGCAACAAGCTTTCTTAAATTGCTTTAAACATTTTTTAAAGGATGCTCCCCCATAAATCAAAAAACATTTTGCTTCAAAACTATACTGTCTCTTCAAAAATTAATTACTGTAAACTGTTATCATCAATTCCTCTCTGTAGTTAGCATTAATTCCTAAGTATTTTTAAGAGAACAAAATAATCTTTAAGTATGGTTTAGGCATTCATGAAAGGGTCAAACTTCCTGCACATTAAAAAAGAGAACTTTCAAAAAGGATATCTTCTCTCTCTTTGATGATCAGTTCATTCTGTTCTTCCAACTGCCTGATCTTCTTCTCAAATGATTCTTGCTCAGCTTTGAGTCGTTCTTCGGTCACTTCCTTTTCCTCGCTTACTCTAAAAGAAATAAAGAAATGAAAAGAAAATGCCTATGAGAATAAAATACAACATGTGCCTACAGCTGCAGTTTACCCAAAGTAGACTTCCTCCAGAGTATGCTTACCTCTTTCAGAGGTTTCTTCAGGGCTACTCTACGCATTTTTTTAACTAACCTTTTATAAGGCAATCTTTTACAGCTGTCCAATAAAATACGCATGTTGACTTTAAAATCAAGAATGTTTCCCATCATCAGAAGTATCTTAAATATGTAAAGTCCAACATAAGACATAGGCTCCTAATTATAATCTGGGACAAAAAAGTATCTAATTTTTACAACATTAGGTTTCATTTCTTCATTATCAAAATAGGCACAATCAATTTATTTTGATTTAGATATTTTTATACTTTTACTTAAATCCTGTCAATGACATAAACAACATATAAATCACTTAAACATTTCACTAAAAAACATAGGCAATTTTATTCTTTTTTTCTGGAACTGATACCCTGTATTCCTTAGTAGCATATAAATAACTACATTGGAATAAAAACACAGCATTAACATAAACCTTGCACTATATTTATTCTTAGTCCAAAAATAGGGTGGTGAAGGCCTGGGGTTGGGGTGGGCTAGAAAGGGCCCATGGGGGGGATAAAAAGGAGACATATGTAATACTTTCAACAATAAAGATTTTTTAAAAGGGATTTTAAAGTTAAAAATACCGACCAATAGTTTTGATTCTTTAATGTCTAATTCTGAAAAGTATTCCAACTTGATCCTACCAGAAAGGGGTGGTTCCTAACAAGAACACAGAAGGGGAAAAAATCTTTAAAAAACCCCCACAAAAACAGCTAAACAACAACAACATTAAAAGTTATCTTAAAATGACAATCCTAATTTTCATGTTTCTCTGTGCACAGAGATGTTAGCCCTGAATTTGTTACTGGTGCCTGTTTCTCCAAAGAGAGTACAACGTTTATCCTACAAGACCACACGGGGATGCGTCTAAGTGAAATCCATGCCTTTCCTTTGAGCTCCTAAGTTTACTTTCTCCCAGAACCCTCCTCTATCAGAACAATTTCTGACTAACATGAACTCCAGAGCTCTTCCTTTCTTGCTAGTCTTCTGGCGAAGATATTAAAATCAATGATATAACAGAATGAAAATTAGAATTTTTTGAATGTTCAAGAGTTGATTGCTTTTTCTTTGAAATAATGTGTGTGAAATGCATGGCACACAATAGTGTTCAAAAATAGGTTTATTTCTTCTTGCTCATCTTGACATTCAAATAACTTCCTCAACTATATTATTTATGGTTAGCATAATATGAGGCCCACGAATGGGACTCAGGCCCCTCTTCCTAAGGGTAATCTCTAAAACTGATACAATTACAAGAATCCAGACAACAAAGCAAGGAACAAATATACCTAAATGAGGAGGATTTATACTCGGGTCTCAGGTAATCCTGCCTCCCTTGTAGATTGCCAGATTTACCTTATCATGGAGGTATATCTCAACATTTATTTACTCCCTTTGTTCAACCTGAAAGAGATCCATGAAAACTCTAGAGTTCATTGAGGGAGTAAAAGTTGTACACACATCCCATAATGCCAGAGTCTATGATGAGCTTTTCTCAAAACTTAAAAGTGCTCTATCCAGAAAAATCACTCCTTTTAAAATTTAGTTTCTGGAGTATGTTTGAAAAATGTATTGCTACACTATTTAAACAGGCCTTTTTTTTTTTTTTTTTGGTCTTTTCTGTTATGCTGCTATGATTAGACTACCCTTTAGCAATTATTATGCTCTGGGAGGCTATAAAATTAACAAGCTGTGGTAAGTACAAAGTATAACACTTCTTCCATAGGCCTATCTAAAGATACTCATGGCTTCTTTGTGGCCTATTAGCATAGTTAATATAAGCAAGCATATTAATACAGCCTTTAAAGGCAGAGGACTTGCCAATAAAACAACCTCAAGATTTGATATCCACTCTGAAATCTGTCTTCTTGTTTAATTTATGTTCAATAATATTTCCCATGAGGTATATGTAAGAGAAAATATCTGGTATCCTGATCTACATTTTTCATCAAAGCATTCTCAGACCACAAAGTAACATAAAAAGACCTAATTCTCTATCTCATTTAGAGTAGAGCAACAAGTTAATTAACAAAATGAGAAGCTAAATACAGGAAAGGGAAATATCTGACTAATAGGATAAAACAGTTAAAACTAACAAGAGGATATTCCCAGAGTTGGTTTGTTAATTATTTACAAAGAGGACAATAGCCTGTTCATAAAGTAAGATTGTTAACATTTAGTTAATGCCTCAGAGTATTTATCAAAAAGGTCCACAGAATGTACTGTTATTTAACAAGAAAAGAGAATTCATACCCTTAGAGCTGGGTGGCTGGGCTAGAAATTGTGCTGAAAGTACTGAATATCTTTGAAGTCTTAAAATTGAAGTCTTAATTTTTTATTGTACTGAGATGTACATTTAATTATGACAAAAAATAATTAGTTAAAAAAACTAAAAAGCAGAATAAATATAAAATAATAATGATCTACTTATTCTACAATAGGAAACTAATGATGTTACACTTTCTATTTTTCTTCTGAGAATGTCAAGTAGAAACAGCAAAATGTCCTTTGGGAAAAATCAGTATCTGAGCCTAAAAAAGAACCCAGTCCTCAAATGAGTTAGTGCACAAGTATTCACAGGGGAACCATGCATTATCTGACAGTGTGGGCACGGGACAAGAAATAGTGGAGATTTTTTTAGGCTTCTTCGAATATGGCTCATATACATCAAAAAAATGCAATGTGGTCAAGATTATTTTACAACTTTTTTTCCTTTAAATACTAAGCTATTATACAGTTCACGCATTAGTCTATGGCAGCGATTTTCAACCCTTTTCATCCATGGCATACACAAACTAATTACTAAAATTCTGCTGCACACCAAAAAATATATTTTTTGCTGATCTGACAAAAAAAGGTATAATTTTGATTCAGTCATACCAGACGGCTATTGTTATGTTGGCTGTTGTCATATTTTTAAAAATATTTTTATTTTAGAGAGAGAAATACCTATGTAAGAGGGAAACGTTGATCTGTTGCCTCCTGTACACCTCCTACTGGGGATGGAGTCCGCAACCCGGGCATGTGCCCTGACTGAGAATAGAACCTGCAACCTTTGAGTACATGGGACAATGCCCAAGCAACTGAGCCACACTGGCCAGGGCAGTTGTCATTTTTTAATATGACAATCTAAGGGAAAAGAGGTCAGTGACCCTGACTAAATGGTCAGGTATTACATGTTTTAAAAATTCTTGCAGCTGGTCTATGGTACCCTCTCCATCTTAAAAAGTCTCAGTAAAAAAATAAAAAAAATAAAAAGCAAATGCATACATAGGGAAGTTGCCATCTTGCAGCACAAACTAGAATATTTTGCAAAGCCATTCATTTTTCAAGTCCCCATAAATTACACTGCTTTTCCCATCAATGCAAACAATTCATTAATTTTACTATTAAAGACTTTCTGAGGTCACTTAATTCAGCAATCTTGAACAAAAAGAATTCTCTCTATCCTTATGCCTCCAAAAATGATCAATCAATATTCCACTTATTCTTCTGCAAATGTAAATCAATGCTAGACACCTCAGGAAAATGTGATCATTTACTTCAAGTCCATATATCAAGTCATCTTTTACACTCTCTTCCACCAGCTAAATAATTCATAAAATCCCTTATGGTATCTATTCTCCATTAGCCTATTAATTTGTATGTGTACTCCATTCTTTTATTAGTGTAGTTAACACAAGTAAAAAAGTTCCCTGAGCATATATAGATTATTTAAGGAGGCATCTACAGATTATTAAAAACTCATACTAGGTTTTTTGTTTTTTTAAATCTATTTGGTTTCTTGCCAAATAGCACTATATTGCTTATTCATGTTCAGGCTAAATTGAACTATGATCCATGCATATTTTTTTAATGTACTAGGCCTAACCAGTAAGTCTTTCTCTTAAGTGAATTTCTACTTTATTTTTATTCTTAGGCATATAATAACCTGCACTTGTCACTATTATCTTACATCCTGTTTGAATGAATCTATTTTCCAACCTATTAAGCCAATTCTTAAATCTTATTTATATCTTCTGTTAACATTTATTTTCGTTTAGTAACATCAGTAAATCTTATAAGCATCTTTTTGCTACTTTTACACATAGTACCAATAAAGATAATGACTAAAAAGGACCTCACAGCTAGATCTCAATGGAAGAGGTAAGATACAGGTAAGCCAGTCTTGGAATTTAGACATATACAGTTTTCCCACTAACACTGTTAAAGGCCATGTGTTTTTTTAAAAAGGCTAATGCTTTGTTAAAAATGCTTTTCACTTCAAAGGCACCATTAAAAAAAAAGGCTACAGTTTTCACTTTGCTTTTATATTGCATGTCACTCTATAATTGAAAAACATGCTATTTGTCTTGTACGTTATGCTGAGAGCTACTGAATATTATATTATTCTGAAAATATGCTTGTTAATGGTCAGTGTTGGTGTTAAGCACTCTGACTTCTCCCCTAAAATAATGTTGGTGCATCTTCATAATAGCGGAAATTCTTTAAGTATGCTATACTTGAATATATCATAGGAATACACAGGTTTTCTAAATCTTCTGACACTTTCTCCATTTGCTTTAACTTGTATACAACAAAGTTTTAAATAAATAATACATGGGTCAAAGAGGAAGTCTCAAAGGAAATTTTAAAAAATACATAGGGCTGAATGAAAATGAAAATACAACAAATCAAATATGTGGGAAGCATTAAAAGCAATCATGAGAGAAGTTTATAGCACTAAATGCTTACATTAAAAGGAGAATGGTCTCTAAGTTTCTACTTTAAGAAATAACAAGAAAAAGAACAAAACAACAGAAGAAAGGAAATAGCAGAGATAAGAGCAAAAATCAATATAATTGAAAACAGAAAAAATAGAGAAAAATCAATAAAACAAAAAGCTGCTTCTTTGGAAAAAAATCAATAAAATTGATAAACCTAACAAGGCTGACAAAAATAAAAAGAGAGAAGGTACAAATCAATAATATCATAATGAAGCCCTATAGGTCCCGCAGTCACTAAAAAGATAAGAGAATACCACAGACAACTTCATGTTCATAAATTTGACATGAGACAATTCTCAAACCACAAACTCCCAAAACTCAATCAAGACAAAATAGACAACTTGAATAATTTTGTAACCATTAAAAAAATTGAATTTGTAATTAAAAAGCTCTTTAAAAGTAAATCTCCAGCACAGATGATTTCACTGGAAAATTCTATAAAATATTTACAAAAGAATAAACCAATTTTGTACAATTTCTTCTAGAAAATAGAACACTTCCCAATTCATTTTATAAGGCTAGTATTACCATGATATGATATTAAAATCAGACTAAGCAAAAAAAAAGAAAACGACAGTCCAATACCTCTCATGAACGTCAGTGTAGAAATTCCAAACAAAATAATAAGGAAATCAAAATTAGGAATGTATAAAAACTATGATAAAAACTGAGGTTTTTATAGGTAGCAAAGGCAAAGTCAACATTCAGAAATCAATTTGTATAATCCACCATATCAACAGCTAAAGAAGAAAATACATATAATCTCACATTAATTTAGGCAAAAAAAGTGTTCTACAAAATCTAGCATACAATCATAACAAAAACTCTTATAAAAGTACGAATATAAGAAAACTCCCTCAACTTTATAAAGAGCATCTATAAAAAATCTACAGCTAATATCATACTTAATCACACACACCCTGAACAACCCAAATTGGAAGAAATACTGCAAAATAGCTGGCCAGTATTCTTCAAAAGTATCAAAGTCATGGAAGGCAAGGACACACATGAAAGAGACCAAGGAAACATAAAAACTGAACACAAAATGCGATACTGGAGCAGGAAAAAATATATTAGTGAAAAAACTGGTGAAATCTGAATGCTCTGTAATTAATACAATTGGACCAATGTTAATTTTTGACAATTGCATGATGATTTATTCAGGGTGATAAAATTAGAAAAAGTTATGTGAAAGTTATGAGAGCCTTCCATACCATTTAAGAGATTTCTTGACATATACTTACATATAATAAGGTTCAACCATTAGAGGATACAATTCAATGGCTTTTAATATATTTAGAGTTCTGCAAACATCACCATAATATAATTTTAGAACATTTCATCCTCCCCAAAAGACCACTCATTCCTCTTTCTCCCAATATTTTTGCAATTTTTCTATAAGCCTAAAATTATTTCAAAATAATACAAAAAGGTAATAATATTACATTGAATTAAAATTTATATATATATAATTTTTTGACACACTATATAATGAAATATAATCAAGAAAGGAAAATGAAATTCATGTGTTTTAAAGTTCTTGAATTGTCTCTCTTATATAACAATGCATCTCATATAAGGTTTGTCTCACCTGGCCAGTTCTTTAATTAAATTTGCAATGCGTCTTTTGTCTTCAAGACATAAATCCTTTAATGATGCACTCTTTATTCCTCCCTTGCAGAAATTCTGAAACAGAAAAAAAACTTTTGTTTAACTTTTACTAAAAACAATTTTTAAGACTCTTCAATAAATTCTTAAAATAAGTAGAGGTGAAATTTCCTAGATATCTTTTATCTTGTGGAAACACTAGTAGCCTATTTCATTTAAAACTGACTATGAACTCAAAACAGGCTAAGGAACTGTCTGCCCATGAGGGGACATCATGAAATTTACACAGAAAAGCAGACAGAAAGAACTCAAAGCAGGAATGTCCCTGCTTAAATACTAGGGAATATCTTAAAAGACAACTTTCCCTTGGTGGACGCCACAGAAATAAACACCTAATGGAAGATACTGAGAACTTTCTTACATCATAGCCAGCTTAAAACTAAGGTTGGCAGCAGATGCACCTGTTCTAGCCTCTCTATAACCCGAGGTTCATTCCAAAGGGTACTAGACCAAAGAGTAATTAATAATAATAATATATTTTTAAATAGCTAATAATATTTAGTGTTTACTGCATGCCAGGAATAGGCTAAGTACTTTACACTTATTAATCCATCTTATTTCCGCAACAATGCTATTAGGTGGGTATTATTCTTATTTTAAAGTGAGGATACATATCTTGTCTAGTATTAAGAAGAAGATCAAGACCAAGTTCCAGAGTCTGTGCTTTAACCACTGTACTATCCTGTCTCCTATGCTACAAAAAATTCTCCCAGTACTTGAACATCATTAACAGGGTCTTTAAAGCCATGAAACTCAGGGAGTCACAAGGGAATGGAGGTAACATGTAAAAGGAAAGAAGTATAATCCTTGAAATATATGCAACCACAAAATAGATCAGTCCAATTATTTCTGGTAGACAAGAATAATCCAAGACCCTTAAAATGAAACATGGAAATACTGAGAGCCAAAGACAGGAAAGAGAGGGGAGAAGAGGAAATGAGAAAGGAATGGTAAGAAAATAAAATAAGTTTGGCTTTAGATACATCAGGTCAATTTAAGATATCAGGAGGATATGCATATAGAAATGTTTAGGTAGAAAGTAAAAAATATGGGTATGGCTCTTAAGTCAGAGAAAAACTAAGATTTAAAATTTAGCTATATGATATTATATAGGATGTTTAGATTTTTATTATTTTCATTATATTTTTGTTTTAAAGTTTTCCTTAAAGTTAAGAAAAATGTTAGTTTTTAAAAATCATCTACAAACCCAAGAAAAAAATGTATGTCTAAAAGAACAAGAGGGGAATCGGAAGCATAAAATATTGTGGGGGAAAGAAAAGAAAAGAAAAAGTTTCAAGAAAAGTGTGGGCTTAACAGTGCAAATGACTGAAAAAGCTAAAAGAATGTGAAATGATGTCACTGGATTTACAATGGGAGAAGCTGCTGATAACCCACAGTAAAGGTGCAGTAAATATAAACCAAACAAAAGATTTTAGCAGCATTGTGTTTAACAGCAAAAACCTGAGAATCAGGTTTTATTCACTAGAGAATGATTTCACTGTGATATATTTATTCAATGGAATTCCATAGGTTCTGGTTGCTATGCTACTGACTTTCATCTTCAAACCCACCCTTCCACGCTCTGTTTTGTGAGGCTGGGGCTGAGCCTCTGGACACCCCATTTCTTCTTTGCCACATGACTCTCTGTTAAACTCTGCGAATAGGAAGAACTACTAGAGGGGGACCAGGGGTTGTTAGAGAAAGGACACGTTCCTTCTTATTTGCTTCCTTTCCCGGCCAGTCTCAGCCCTGGCAAGAACAGCTGATTCTATTTTGCAATTTTTCGTGCCCTCATCGAACCAGCATTTCTTTATCTTGTTTCCTCAGGGACAGCAGTCAGGCTGGTTCCCCATCGCCAGAGTCCAAGTTCCAGTTCTGAGGGGTTCATCCTCAAAGCTTCCACACTTTAATAAGTCCAACTTGTTCCATTTGTTCTCCCAGCCCTAGAAATGGTAACTGTTTCTTAGAGATAACTGAGTGTTTTCTTTTTGCCTTTTCAGTTCTTCAGCACCAATGTAGCAAGTATTTAGTATTTTCAGTTAAAATAAATGACTAAACCCTAACTGAAATATCAGTGAAAAAAATGAAATATAACTATATACAACATAAATAAATCTCATGAACATAATGTTGAGTAAAAATGCAAATCACACACTATACAAAGTATAAGCTCATTTATATAAGGTTTCAAAAAATTATAAAATTAAATATTCTTTAAAAACCAAATATATTTGGACAGTGGTTGGTAAACAACAGCTACAAGCCAAATCTGGCCCATCCCCTGTTTATTAAAATGCAGCCATGCACATTCATTTACACACTGATACATATATGGCTCTATCCACAGGACAGTGGTAGAGCTGAACACTTGAGAAAAACACAATGGGGCTCATAAAAGCTAAAGTATTTACTATCTGGCTCTTTACAGAAAAACTTGTTATGATATTATTTTCCAATGGAAGAAAATAATAACAACAATAATAATGCAGGCTAATTTTCTTTTAATGAAAACATCTTTCTTATATGTTAGGGCTTATTCATCATTAACTAACAAATGTAAATGAACAGAAATCATAAAGGCCACCTAACCAAAGTACAGTTGCTATGGATTTGATTTACTAACTCCACACAGATCAGAATGTAGGTCTTTTGAGACATACCAAGATAATACATTTTCTTAACTAAGATTTAAAGCAAGCCCAAATATTTTGGAGCTAAACACTTTATATTCATACCAAGCATCATCAAAACATTCAAGAATCCTCTGTAGCTTTTCAGAATGCGTATAAATCATCTACCCATATACATCAGTTATTGGTCATGTGGTCCCTGAGAACGAAGATACCCTACCAAGAACTCATGGTGGCTTACCGGAGCTTAAATTAAAAACAACAACAAACAAATAAAAAAACAGAGCCTAGCAGTCATTTCTGAACAGGGGCCTCGCATAAGAACTGCACTTCAGGGAGAGCCTGCACTGAGCTTCCTGCTTCCTGCACTGAGTTTCTGCCATCTGTGCCGCCCCTCATAGAGGAGTTACTGGAATCCTGTTTTAACCAAGTGGGCTGAAGCTTCCCAGGCTTACTACAGTGACCTAGTTGTATCACCTTAAACAGCTTTGCCACCCAATTAGAGCAACTCCATCCTAACCAATCAGGACAGTACTTTTGGACCAATACTGTGAGTATTTGGAGTCCTTATTTGCATGAGGACAGACCAATCAGGGACCACGGGTGGGGACTTCAGTCTTTTTAAATCAGCTCCCTTCTGGCTCTGGGAATGCACTTTCCATTTCCACCTAAGATTGAAAACTGCATTTCTCAGGCTGGAGGTGAAACCCCAAAGATGTCTAACCAGAGCAGAGTAGAGCAGAGATGACTGGCGCAGGGCGAAAGTGGACCTAAGCAGGTAGAAAAGACCAGAATAGAGCAGAACTGCCTCGCCTAGAAGGGCCTCACCCAAAAAGGGCCCCCCCCCCCCCCAGGGCCACCCTGCCCACTACCTCTTCACAGCCCTGCTGCTTCTAACTGAGCTATAACACTATTGAGCTGTTCCACAGCCATGCTGTTTTCCTAGCTCTGATGTATCACAACTGAGCTGTTTCGCACTATTGTTTTCTTCTTCATTGCAACCCAAATCAGGAATTCCTGTTGGCATTGAATTGGCACCAACAGCCACCAATTGACAGTCTGCAAAGAAAAATTAGTAAATGATCAACATTTATAAAAAATTGTAGAATGAGAAAACAAATAAATTACTGACCTGTTCATTTACGGAATCTCCTGCACCCTTTAAAGACTCCATGGAGATTGAAGCAGCAGTCACCTTGGAAGTCTTAAGTTTAACATTAGCTTTTGGACTCATCGACTTGTGTCTTGATCTGATATTTCCTTCTGTAGAAATCCCTAAGGATTTGCATCAAGTAAGATTCCAAAATTATATCTTCTCATTCTCTTAAGCTTCCCCCCCACCCCCCAATCAACCTCTCCATTAATATCCTCTATTTTATAGGATGTGATATAGAAAACTCTTAACTTCATCTTAAGGCTCTCTTAATAAATAATAAATCATGAAAAATTATATTTTGAATACATTAAGATTCAACTGAAATATTTTTAAAAGGTGCTGGCACATTCATACGTCATATTGAAACCAACAAATTAAAACATGCCACAAATACATTCACTTAGGGAAATTAAAGACCTGATTTGTCACGTAATTGGGGTACTTTCAATAGTCCAGTTTTACTGCTCATCTGTAATAACCAGTAAACTTTAAAGAGTCTATTTCATAAACTCTATGTCAAGAAGTTTCCACACTTTTATTTGAAATATTAAATTTAGACTCTTATTTGTAATAAAAAAAAAAGAAAATCTCTTATTCCCTAATATATAAAGTATAAGGCAGTGTTTTGAACCTAATAGGGTTTCTTTAATTTATTTTATTTTATTTTAGGTTCTAATGAACTGTCCCACATTCAGTTATAACTGCAAAGTTGTCCTAATGTTTCATCTTTCTCTTAACACTTAAGAAGCAAAGGAAGCTTACCAAATTAACATAGAAATTCATACCTGGAACATATACTACTGATTGTTCTTCATCAGAAACTATGCAGAAGACATGAAGGAAAATACTAGGAAAGATTGTCCATTATCCAAATGCTGCTTCGGTTCTGTGCTTTTGTTATAATTTGTAATTTCTATTTGACCTTGGAATTTATAACTAGTTTTTAAAAGTAACACTAGAAAGCAAAGTAATTGAATTGATGCAGCAAAGTTAATATTATTTTAAAGTTCATTTTTATATAGTCACAACTATATATTTTATAAAAGTTTTGGAAGGCCTCGTTCTATAAAACGTTTATTCATGCTTATTCCCAAGTGAGATATCCTATACTATAAATTCTGCTGTGCCTTTCATTTCATTGCCTTTGCAAACCAAGAGTTCAGTGCTCCAGTTTGCTCATTACTGGAAAACTGAAAAGTTATTTTAGGCATGAATAAATAATTTCAAAATGAGCTTTATCTTTGAAAAACAAACACTGTTTGAGGGCAAGTCAATCATACAAACACAAAGGCATTTTTTATTCTTCATAGTGCATACGTGAAATGTCCCACGAGGTCCTACTATTTAACAAGTGGAAGAAATTTAAGACAAAAAGAACTACAGTATTGTTAATTTCAAGAGGAGAAATTTAGAGAGGCTACTAAGATCATAACACTGCTTTAGAAGACAACCATTACAATAAAAAAAGTATTCTTTCCAGAAACAAAATTTTACTCAGAACCATATCTAAATCCAGATATCTGTACAGTTTGTTAACACTTGTCAGAAAGAAGCATCTGAACATTTTTTCCAATGACCTAGAACATTCCAAACTTCTCTGTTCTTTGATAAAATGTTTTCTTTCCAAGATTTCCAGACAAATCAATTATGAGCTAATTCCTTTCAGGCAAAGGATAGAGTAAAACAGTAGATTTAATAACATGTTCAAAAAGTCCATGTATTTCAGCTCATGATCAACCTTAGTAATGGAGTCTTTTCAGAAAATGCTGATTAGATATGCCAAGGATCCCTATAGGAATTTGGGAATGCAAAGATGATGTCTAGCTTGAGCTGCCAGCTGGTTTCTAATCGCTTTCCAGAGCAGCATATATACTCTCACAGCTTCAAGGTTTTAGCTGACAACTAGTGCCCCTAAACTTCAAATTCCCTCAAATCTCAGGGATGGAGCTGGTAGTTTAAGAGGCATGTAAGACAAGAAAGCATACAAAAAATTAGACACCACCACTCCAAGAAAACTGAGAGCAACTAACACAGGAGCAGAGAGAGAATTTATAGATTCACTAACACCCAAGCTATAAAAGACCTTACAAAATGACATTGTGCAGGCTCTATTTGACAGCAAAAACTGATTCTTTGGGGGAAATATATATATGTCTGTTGGGACTAGCACACACAGTAGGTGCTCAATACTTATTTAACTATTAACTGTTGGAAATATACATATAGAATAAAGAACCCAAGGGGGGGGGGGTGGAATCCAAGATGATTCAGTATTTGTTCCATATGACACTGTCTTCAATTAGAAGATACAATAATGATGAATGTGCAGACTATTCTCCAAGGATGACCTATGAACTAACATAACTGAGTCCTGGAAAAAAGACTACTACATTTCCGTAGATCATTCACAAATAAACTTGCTCACAACTGGAAAAATCAACTACTGGGTGCTCCATTCAACCGCACCTTGATTTGAAAACTCAACAAGTATATTATAGTTTCCTCTTTGCTCAAATCTTAACACCACTTCCTCATCCTTACTACCAACTAATAACTTTGTATCCTAAGAAAACAAACTAACAGCGCATGGCTAAGTGGTTGAGCATCAACCTATGAACCAGTGCCGGGTTGCAGGCTTAATCCTCAGTAGGGGGTGTGCGGGAGGCAGCAGATCAATGATTCTCTCTCATCATTATGTTTCTATCTCTCTCTCTCCCTCTTCCTTCCTCTCCCTGAAATCAATAAAAATATGTTTTAAAAAAAGAAAACAAACAAAAAACTGTAGAGACCTTCCACAAGCTTCTATTTGCAGATGACATTATAAAGACTCCACCTCAAAAACTGTTAAAACTACTGAACAAAATCAGTAAAGTTGCAGGATACAAACCAATATACAAAATTCTACTGCATTTCTACACACTAATAATGAAATGCCACAGAAATTAAGAAAGCAATCCCATTTACAACTGCCTCAAAAAAAAAAATACCTAGAAACAAATTTCACCAAGGAGGTGAAAAACCAGTACGCTGAAAATTATAAGATGTTGATAAAAGAAATTGAAGAAGACACAAAATAAATGGAAAGATATTTCATGCTCATGGATTAGAAGAATATTGTTAAAGATATCCATACTACCCAAAGCCATCTATAGATTTAATGCAATCCTTATCAAAATTCCAATGGCATAACAATCCTAAAATTAGTAAAGAACCTCAAAAGACCTCGAATAGCCACAACCTTAAGAAAAAAGAACAAAGCTAGAGACATAACACTTTCTGATTTTAAACTATATTACAAAGTTATAATAATCAAAAAGTATGATACTGGCATAAAAAGAGACAAAAAACCCCCATGATAGCTAGCCCTTCCCAGCTTTATTTTTCTCCATAGCACCCATTATCATATACTAGTATATTTTACTCATTTCATATCACCAAAACGGAAGCACCAAGCAGGTGAAGATTTTCATCTTTTGCTCAATGTTGTGTCTGCAAACATCATAGAATGCCTGGCTCATAGTAAAGAATGAAACAGGCATTTAATTTTATGAGGCATTTTCCAAAAAGCTTCAGTGTTATCTTTCTTTCCTTAACTCATTAAAAATATTCAGGTAAAACCCATTAGCTACATCCATGATAAATTTGGTTTCAATATAAAAAATGCTAAATAAACTGACCTTAACAAAATTTTTTTAAAAAAATAAGACTAAACATATTTGAAATTGCCTCCATCCTACCTATCTTTTCTAATCATTTCTAACCTATCTTTATCTTATCTTAAGAACCCAAATATTTACCTTCTTCAAATAGAGATTCCCAACAAGCATACAGCTTATGGGAAAGTCAAAAAAACAAAATATATAACAAACTCATATAAGACCACTTATTGGGTTCTATATGCCACATTATAATTCTACTTTGGTTTCTTTAGAAGCACCTCAATAAGACACGTATAGCAAATTAGAAAGTATCCTTAATTCTGATATCAAATCGCAGAATTAATGCAGAAGTTAGAAACCCAAGGCAGAAGTGGTAGAGGGGAAACAGCATGTCCATCCCAGATGACCAGGACCTGAAGGAAATAAACATAGTACTGTCCACTCTCCTCTAACCTTTGAGCTTGAATCACTAACCAGCAACATATGTACACATATGTAATTATTACTGACCACATGACTTTCCTGGTTAGTACAGGCATACCTCATTTTATTGCACTTTACTCTATTGTGCTTCACAGATATTGCATTTTTTTTTTTAACAAACTGAAGGTTAAGGGCCTCCTCCAGAAAAAAAGATTACAACTGGCTTTATTGCAATACACAGTGGTCTGGAACTGCACCCACAATATCTCCAAGGTATGCTTATATATTATTTTAAGAATAAACATTAAGTCTTTTCTATTGATAATTGAAAGTCAATGGCAAGTATTATAGATACTGCAAAGTTTTGACCAGGTCTCTTATAGTTCATATTTGTTAATATCAAGTTACTAATACTGTTAATGATAGTACACTTGAGAGCATTTAAGCAATCAAATTTAAACACTGCAGAAACACTAACTTCTGATATTACCAGGAACTATAACAAAGCAGGAAAACAGTTTATGGCTGAAGGGGCATAATTTTACTTGCAGATTTAACACATAGTTAACATGGCATGTCCATTGTTTACACATTGGGTACAAAGACATACCTTGTACAAAACAGCACTGCTGAATCATACTGTGCAGGAGATGCATAACTCAACATTAAAAAAGAAAAGATGACATTCAGTCACAGATGATCTGTTCTCACATGATGGAAACATCTAGGATGGGAAATCTCTCGATCACACTTCTCTAGTTGTTTAGGGGAAGCACTGAACAATCTTTCAAAGGTGAGAAAAGAATTCCAGATTACAGATAAATACTTTTTGGTCTTTTTCTACTGAAAGTTCTACTATAAAGTTTTTGGGGTGGTCTGGGAAGTCTGTGACAAGAAGAGATTATGATACAAAGACACATGACTAAACGAAATGATTCATAACTATCGTTAATGCTTTTTTAGTGAAAATCAGGAACACATTCACATTTGATATTGCTTTTAAGTCCTATGGAAATATAAAATGAAAATATTTGAGGCTAAATGTTGGATAGCCTGGGGGAAACAGATGATACTGGTAAACTTGCAATCCCTTTCAAATACCTGAATTTCTATAGAATGTAATCACCATCATTTTCCCCATACAATTTCAATTCTTTATGTTCAATGGGAAGATAGTATTTTATATAAATACTAGAGGCCCGGTGCACGGATTTGTGCACCAGTGGGGTCCCTTGGCCTGGCCTGTGGGATTCAGGCTCTCCACATCCCCTGAGGGGTCCTGTATTGCGAGAGGGTGGTTCTCATGTGATGCACCCCAGAATCGGGCTCCCTCCTCTCTGTTTCCGGGTGCATCACCTGAGAAGTGCAGCTGCCAAGTCACTGCAACTTGGCAGCTCCTGCATTGAGCATCATCATAGCTACCGGTCGAACGGTCGCTTATATATATATATATATATATATATATAGAGAGAGAGAGAGAGAGAGAGAGAGAGAGAGAGAGAGAGAGGGAGGGAGAGGGAGAAAGGTAGAATTTAAGAGAAAAGGGAAGATATGTAACTTCTATATGAAATAGGGAGCAATAGGACTACATGAATTAAGTGAGAGTAGAGGGTTCCTGAGTCCAAGAACATAGATTCATTTACATACCTAATAACTTAATCAGTACCACTGTAGCAGATTGTCTCCCTTCCCCCCAAAACCATTTACTCTGTATCAGAACGACACCATTGGTCATATGTGGTCATGAATGTGATTAAACTGAAGAAGCACATTATAAGTTAATAAACTTCAAATATCTCCTCTATCACAAAATTGTCATGGCAGAGGCAGTGTTTCAAGAGAAAAAGACTCATCCCAATTTCCTGACTTCTTAATTCAGCTCAGTTCTCAATGCACATATTCTCGTTGCATCCTTAGTGACAGGTGAAGGAAAAATACTTAATTTGCACAGTGCACTGGTGAGCTTTCACCCACAGTGCGTGTATAATACTTTGAGTCTCACTAACCTATCTGAGACAAGTGGTAAACACTAAGCACTGAACAGCACGGAATGCAAAAATACGCCTTGTTAATCCTAGTAACTCAAATAAGGGGGACTGATGATAGAATTTTGTAAGTTTCACTGGGAGCTCAGTGGGATGTGCAAAGAATACACAAAGTTAACAGCCATGCCTCTAACAATGCTATCACCAGTCCAAGCAAACAGAAGAAACTACTCGCCTCCGCAGGCACCCAGTGCACTGATTGCCTTGCTTTCCGAGTAACACTCTTCTAAGGAACACGGACGGAGTCAATGACCAGGACCAAAGCTCAGGCTGGAACAGGCTACCCAACCCCGGGAAAGAACCACTTATGTCACACATCCCATCACAGCCACTGATGATGCATCTGTGGGGGGACCATCACAAGAGTAAAAGCTCTACCCCAAACAATCCAAGAACTTTACTCCTGCTCGTGGTGATCGTAAACTCTGTGTAGACCAACAGGACATCCAGGCCCGATGATGGGCAGCTGATTCCACAGCCAGCGCCACCAGACCGTCTCCGCGGAAAGCAAGCCCCACACCTCTAGGAAAATCCCAGAGTGAAAACGAATTGTCACTGACAGGCCTAGAATCCAACAAGATCCTGACATCCTCCTACACAGCGGAGACCATGGACAAGGCTAAGACAAGACAAAAAGGCCCCCTGACCACCCAGCACCCTTCCCTCCTACGCAAGCTGGCTGCGCACAGCTGGCCCGAGGTCACCGAGGGCGGTGTCCCCCCAGCCCCAGGCAGGGCACGACCGCAGGCCATCGCCCCAGAGCTCACCGCCGAGGAGGGCCGGGCAACATCTGCACTCAGCCCCACACCTGGAACCCCAGCCTGGGGACGCGATCGGGCGCAAGGCCACCTAAGTCCCCAGCCAGGCGAGAAGCCCGGCGCCTGGACCGCACGGCCCCGCCCCCGGGGTGAGCGCCGCGCCTCTCCCTCCGCCGAGTCGAGTCCCTCGCGACGGCTCCAGATCGCGTCCCCGCCCCGGGAGGGCGCCGGCGCCCCCTGCCAGGCGGGTAAAGGATACAGTCTCGGCTCCAGAACGCCGCGGCGCCGGGGCGGGAGGGGCGCGCCGCGTCCGCCATCTTGAAACAACCGCCACTGCGGGCGTCTGGCCGGGGCCGCCCCGCCCCGGACGCCAGGCGCCGTCCCGATTGGCCGCTGGGCGCAGAGGCCCGCCCCGGCCTGCGCGGCCGGCCCCGGCGGGGCGGGAGGGTCCGGGCGGAGGCGTCGCCGAGGCCGGGCGGGTCGGGATGCAGCTCTAGCCAGGGCCGCGGGAACGAGCGCCCCGCGGACCTCCTCTTCGCAGAGCAGCCCGGGCCGCCCCTCGCCGCTGCCGCGGCCTCAGCGCCGAGGACTACAACTCCCGGCATGCCGTGAACGCGATGGCCGAGGCGCGGGGGCGGAGCCCGGCCCTGCGGCGCTCCCCGCTCGTCCGCCCCGGCCCCCCGGCTGCCCGGGCGGCGCGTGGAGCGGGCGCGCGAGCCATGGAGGAGCCGCCGCTCCCGGCCCAGCCCGCGGGCTCCTGCAAGCCGCACCTGGAGAAGCTGACCCTGGGGGTCACCCGCATCCTGGGTGAGTGGGGCGGGGAGCCCGGGGCGAGGCGGCGTGCGCGGAAGCACAGTGGCGGCACCACCTTGCACGTCGGGGGGCATCGCTGCGGGGGCTTCCGTTGTTAAGGAGGAAAGGGCGAGCTTTGCAGGGGGTGTAGGGATGCAGAATTGGGAAGCCCGGAGGTTCTCGCACCCGAGGTCGCCCCTGCAGGCCCCGCAAAGGTGGGCAAAAACGTGCACAGGAGCAGCAGGCACCTGACATTGGTGAGTTTGGGTCTCCGGAGACGCGCTCTTGGCGGAAGGAGTGTCCTGAAAGCCCTGGATCTCGCTCTGGCGACCGGGAGCTGGGAGCAGGCTGCAGCCACCTCCCCGGGTAACAGCGCCCGGCACTACTGAACGGGCGTGTCCTTTAGCGTACCTTTGGTTAGCAACCACCGCTGTGTTACTGGGACTACAAAGATGGGGGAAATTAACACGTTCAAGTGAAAAAAATCTGAAGACGAGGGCCCCAGAAGTGTGAGAGGAGGAGGTCGGTAATCTATTGTTCTGAAGCAGCACACAGGAGTTGGCCATTGGCCTCATCTGGGAGTTAAGGAATATTTGCCACGCGTGACGCTGGATTTTGCAAGACAAATGGGATTTAGCCAGATAACCAAGAAAGAGAAAGGCAGACGAAGCCCGCTGGATAGCATGATTGGATGTCCTCCCATCACATTTACAATAAAATCCAAATACTGAACCATGACCCAGTCAGTCCCTCGTGAATTTCCCTCATCTGTCTTTCTGATTTCACTGTGCTTTTGCCGTGTTGTACCATAAACACATTAAGCTTTGCAATTTGTGAGACCCGTCACTGAAATTACCTTTTTCTAAATCTCCCTCATTTCATTCAGATCTGTGATTAAATAGCACCACCTCCGTGCAGCCTTCTCTGATTATATCCTTATCACTCTCTTGTCCTTTAGCCTACCTTTTTTTAAAATCCTTATGGCTTTACCACTACTTGGAATTATGTATTTATTTGGTTGCTTTCTAGATTTGTCTGTCTCTTTTCTGTAATAGAAGTCATGAGGATAGGAACTGTATTTCCCAGTGCCTAAAGCAGTAAATGAGATATGAAACACCAAGCTGTGGTTGGGAGAATTAATAAATTTTAGCAATGAAGTTATAGAACTGGGCAAGGAGAAATCTAATGAACACCACCTATATCCTATCTCATTCTCATGCAGATTTCTGCTCTGTTTCATCTTATACTCCTGGGTAGGCAAGTAGGTCTTGCTATTTTACAGGCTTGCTTCATTATTCTCTTTATAAATCTAGGACTTTTTCAGTAAATAAGTTTTCTTTTGATTAATGTTTAATCTACTTAAGTCCAGCTAACTAAATATCCCTTCAGTGAAAAAACCTGAATAATTAAATGACTGTAAACATTTTAAATTCTATTTGTATTTTTAATGTATTCTATTACTCATTTCAAATGTTTAGCAAATTGGTAATAGTTCAAAGCTAAACCTACCTAAGGAATTAAACAACTCTGGTAATTGAATGTACAGTGACTCTAGCCTCCCATTAAACATTCTCTTTATAAATTTAATCAAAGCTCATAATTTCAAGTTAATCACAAATTGAAAATCAATTATTTTTTTTTCACATTTGTATTTTGTTTTGGAAAGATAATATATTAAGAGGATTTTTTAAAACCAGGTAGCTGAAGTCAATGGTAGGTGTGTGGTAAGCAAACTGCCTCCCTCCCCCAAATCTCCTTCCTAAAAATATGAAATAACTTCACAACTGCAATATTTCTGTCCAAAACCAAACATTTAAAAATCCTCAACAAAATACTATCAAACCAAATTCACTAACATTAAAAATATATACCCACTGTGATTTAGCCCAGGAATGTGCAGCTTATTGAACATATGAAAATCAATTAATGTAGTGCACCTTGTTAATAGAATAAATGACAAAAACCACATAATCATGTCAGTAGTGTTTTAGTTTAAAAAAAAAACACTCAAAAAACTAGAAGTTTAAAAAAAGAAACACTCAAAAACCTAGAAGTAAGCTCTCTAAGCATCATAAATAATAAGAATGCCCTTTTTACCACTTCTATTCAATATTGTATTGGAGAATCTAGTCAGGACAGTTAGCCAAGAAAATAAAGACATACAAACTGGAAAGAAGGAAATAAACTATTGCTATTTGTAGATGACATGATCTTGTATATTTAATAAATCCACAAAAACAAACAAAAGAAACCCTACAATTAAGTGTAAATCTGGCTGTCTCTTTGGCCATGATTTTTAAGTCAGGTGCAGTCCACTTTCTCTGATCTGAGCACATTCACCTGTCTGTTATAGAAATGTGTGAGAGCCGGCCAGTAGCAACTCTACAGGCTCTTTTTTTCCTCTTTCAGAATCATCCCCAGGTGTGACAGAGGTGACCATCATAGAAAAGGCGCCTGCTGAACGTCATATGATTTCTTCATGGGAACAAGTAAGTGTTGCTCTGTTCAATTCTCATCTTCCAACGAAGGTCAGTTTAAGTGCTCCTGAGAAGGAAAGGTTAGGGCAGGAAACCATTCTTATCTCAGTCCACAACTGTCTTCAAGGTAGAGTTCACCCTTCTCTCTTTTCTGTTCAGGCCACTTAACACTCTCTTCCATTCTGTGCCATTTCCCAGCATGGGTCCTCGCCTCTGAGCCTGTCGTGTGGAGCCAGTGGAACATTCAGAGTTTATACAGCAAAACTGAAACTCCAGCAAGGAAAGGAAAAAGTAAATGTCAATACGCATGCCAGGCAGAACGTGGTTAGTGTGGTAGAGAAGTGCTAACCAGATTAATAGTAGTTCTTCCCAACCCTCCTCAGAACTTTCATTTATTCAACAGATGTTTAAAGCTTTTAAAACGGGCCAGGCATTGTCCTTGGTGCTGAGCCCTGGGGAATCAGTGGTAATAAAAAAGAGCACAGTTTCTTACCTCTTTACCTTACTAAGACATAGTGTAAATCATTGCAGGTATAATTACAAAGCAGACTGAGCACTGAAAGTGAGGTGAAAAGAGCATTGTCAGAGGCCTGACTTAGTCTGGAGGGTGAGAAAGGTTTTTCCAAAGAAGTTATGAGGAGCTGTTAGCCAGGCAGGTGAGTTCTGGAAGAAGGGGCTTTCAACCTTGCTGAAGGCTTCGAGATGGATTTATTTTCCAAGAGCATAAAGAAGGTCCATGTGGCTGGAGCACAGGAGAGCAAGGGAGAGAGGTTGACAAGGACCAGGACATGTAAAATTTCTTAGATCATCAGGAGTTCGCTCTTTATCTTGGGTGTAAAGGGGAGCCATCGAAATATTTTAAGTGGGGAACTGGGAAGTCAGGAGAAGCCATTGTGGCTAAATAGCAGCAAATGCATTTGAGTAAGGAACAAGAAATCACCCTGTCATATAATGCAGTGGTCGCCAACTGGTGGTCCGCAGACCACTGGTGGTTCGTGAGGTCCGAAAGGTTGGCGACCACTGGTGTAATGAGTACCTGCTAACACATGTCACATAAGTTATTTCATTTAATCCTCATAGTAACCCTGCAAGATAGGTATTGATAGTTCCTTGTTATACTAGCAGATGAAGGAACCTCGGGTCAGAGAGTTCGTTCTGGGCCACGTAGCTACCAAGTGGCAGAGGCTGAATTTGAACACAGAGTTGCCTGCCTGTTCGTTCTGCTCTGCCAGACTGCTCCTCTGCCAGTGCACAACACTGTGGCAGCCTTGTCCTCAGCTGCCAAGCACGTGATGGGTAGATGGGTTCATGTGCACGTGTGCATGTTTGGTCCTTGCAAGCAGGGCTCACCCCTCCCAGGCTGAGCCAGCAGCAGCTCCCCTGGCAGCTGAGTACTGTGGTTGATGTTTCTCTGCATGACCTCAGCTCAGCAGCTCCCCAACCTTTCTCATGCGCCTACTCAGCCCCCACTCCCATTTCTACTCACAACCCATAATAGAAAAGGGAATTCCTGAGCAGTGTCTGTCTGTTGAACTCTTACTGGCTGTTCAGTCAGAGCCAGCTGCTGCTGAGGCTGTCTGTGGCTATGCCAGCCTGGCCTTGTTGACATGGCTTATTACATCCCTCCTGATCTTTTATCAGCTCTTTTGAAGGTTTCTTGACTGATGTCTGCCACTACAGAGCTTCACAAGACATGTGGGCCCCAGACAAAGCGATACTTATCGATTTTCTCATCATGCCGTTTTAGAGGGTATGAGTATGCTGCCTCTCCTCTGAGTCTGAAGCAACTCGGCCCTCGCCCCAAACTTTCTTACCCCACCCACCAAGGAAAAAGGTTCCAGCTAACCAGGCCTTCCTCCTCTCCTCAGGAGGGAGTTTAAGAACGTATTTGAGAATTCTTCTGGGAATCTCACCCCATCCCTCCACAGCCCATCCAGGTTTTCCTTCCACTGCATGGCTGTCCTCCCCGAATTCCAGCAGATGGACGTGTCCTCATTGCCTCACGTTTGCAGTCACGTTTCAGTGCTCCTCCTGATGGCAACTCTTCTGGCCAACGCTGCAGATGGG